GCTGCTAACCGCCTAGTGGCCTTTCGTTCATCCTCTTTTTTTTCTTCTTGAAAGGAAAAAAAAACTTCTTCTGCTAACTGCCCAATGACCTTTCCTTCGTCCTCTTCTTCTTCTGGAAAAAATCCAAAAAAAATAAAATAAAATTTGAATGACTCTCGCCCTTGTTCATGTTATTGAATGTCCTCTTCTTGAATGACTATCGCCCTTCTTCTTGTATGTCCTCTTTTTTGCCTATGTTCTTGTTCTTCTTCTACAAAAAAGAAACATTTCTCACTCCCACCCACTATTCATTCTTCTGTGACTCTCTCTCACTTGTTGTTTGCAACCTACTCCTTTGTATATGCATATTGACCCTAATTCTAGCCTCTGTATTTTGAAAGCTTGAAATACTGGTTGGCCATCACTCGCAGCATCACAGGTACTTTTTCCTTCCTCTTCTTTGGGTTTTGTACAATGTTATGGGTACAGATAATGTCAATGAGTACACTGAATTCATTTTAGATTCCTCTGTGGTGGCCTTATAGACAACGACACTTAGTGAATGTAGGCAATTTGACATATTAAATTAGTAATTTTTTGACTTAAGTTCTGGTAATTTAGTGTATTAGTTGGTAATTCTTCAGGTGTGTCTTGTATTGATGAGTAATTAGAAATAATTTTATATTATGCTATTGTGGCCTTCAAGACAACAACATTTAGTGAATGTAGGTAATCCAGCATCGGAGGTAGTAATTTTTTGTCCAATATACTAATAATTTAGTGTATAAGTTAGTAATCTATCATGTTTGTAAATTTGCCTCCTACTCCCATCATTAGACTAGCTAACATATTGACTTGGGGATAATACAATGGTATATACTGTAATTCTGAATAATATACTACAATTAAAATAATAACAATTTTCTCTTAAATGAAAGGTATATAGATGGTAATTGACCATAAAAAGCTGGTAATTCAATGTTCAAAGTGATGGTAATTGATTATAGAAGTTGGTAATGTTACAGTGTGTACACATAATTTTTTTTTAACTTCTCTAATATGTGTTACTGAACTTAATTAATGGACTTTTGGTATATGTTAAGCTTAATTTGTGACGTCCTATTTTTTTGGTTTTATAGGATTTAGCTGACACAGATTTATCCGTCGACATGGATACAATCAAACCTCACGATAGTCTTTAACAAATTGTTGAAGAACAAGTTCAAAATTTATACTTGTCTATCATTATTTTCACAGCTTTTGTACAAGTAAATGACAGTTACAAGCATTATTACGTGCAGGTTAGGCTAAGGATAGATAAGTTATGGTCCCATTTTGTTTTGAATGGGTAAGATTAGTAGAAACAATCTTGAAATCTGCATAGTACTTATGTATTCCTTATTTAATAATCAACAATGTTTGTCTATGTAGGATGATACGTACATATTGTTCATGGACTTTTTGTTTCACCATGCACAATATTTTTTTTGGTTGGAGATATGATATGTTAAGATGATGTGGTCTGAAAGGTAGGATAATAGACTTCAAGATTTGAACCATACTATTCTTTTTTTTTTTTTTGTATATTGTAAATAGCAACATAGATGATTTGTGATTAGCCTATTCAACATGGTTTCTTGGCCACCAGAGTTTTTTATTTGTTGTTATCTGTAAGATAGGACACAGTGAATGGCAGAAGAACAAAATCTTGACATTATCGTTTGTAAAGTTGTAAATTGTGGAATGGAATATATTATTGTGGTTTTTGTTTGTAAATATAATGTATGATACTAAAACTGAAATGGTTACAATTTTGTCTTAATTCAACTATATAAAGATGGTAATTGATCATATAAAACTGGTAATAAATTTTCAATACGATTGCAATTGATTCCATATACTGGTAATATTACAGTTATTATAGCAGTTTTATTTTCCAGTTGTGTAATATGTCTTACTGATCTTAATTAATGGGAAGATAAGGTTATTTAAATTTTTGTGACCAATATTTGCCATAACTATGATACTACAACTAAAATGTTAACAATTTAGCCTTAATTGAACTATATAAAGATGGTAATAGAACAAAAAAATCTGGTAATTAAATTTTCAATACGATGGTAATTGACTCCAAATACTAGTAATATTGTAGATCATCACATTTTTATATACTTTTGAGATCCGTTCATAGGAAACTGCTCTTATAGGTGTTAGCTTTTAAACAGCTGCTATTTCTAAACCGCAACCCACATTCTTCTGTAAGGCAAATAATTATCATACTACTAGTAAAATGATAATAATATTCCTTGAATTGACTGTAAAAAGTTGGTTACAGACCTTATAATGCTGGTAATTTTAACTAAAAAGTGTTGGTAATGTAGTGTATGTGTTACTGTAACCGCTCTATACAAATTGTCTCCATTCCTTTACTTAGGCCAATTCAACTAATTATGATTTCTTTGGTTGTTGCCCTATTTTAAGGCCAATACTAATTAATACAATGGTGGTAATTAAATGGTTGTATGTGCTGGTAATTATATTATCAAATATAAATAACATTTATAACAAAAATTGTCTGACAATGCCTAACATGAAGTTTATGTGATTTTCCTTAGCCTAAAATGCCTAATAGTGTAAGGGGTTCGTCGATGCAGTTTCGATCTTCTTTTCCTCTGATATGTATATGTATATGTATTTAGCTTAACCCTTGTTCCAATGTTTGAGTTACGGTTGGTCTTTTGTTCAGTTGCTTGACATTCATTTTCATGTACTTGTGTCAAGATGTTACAAATCGTTTGTAAACGATTTGGTGAGCATCCACTAAGGAAAACAATTTGTATACATGCATTTCAATTCAACTATCAAACATATAACCTCAATTTGAATGATAGAGGGGAAACAAATTTGACAAATACATACTTTACCACCAGATTTCTTCTTAGTCTGCTTTTTTAACTATTCACAGATCTTATTATATGCATAACTTCTCTACTTTCATCACTATAGTTATACTCATCTAAATTTACATTTTCATTAGGATCAAAGTCCTAGTATGATCCTAAGGTTGTCGAATTTTCAATTATATGTCCTTTTTCTCGCGTCATTTTTTTTATTTTATGTACAACCTACAACATCACCATCACATTGAACATTGAATTACCAGCTTTATATGGTGATTTACCACCTTCATATTAGTAGCAGTTTCATAGTTATGGGTTAATATTGGTTATAAAAAATAAATAACCTTATGTTAGTCATTAATTAAGTAAGTTCAGTAACACATATTAGAGAAGTGGAAAAAAATTGTAAACAACCTGCAACATTACGAGTTTTATATTACAATTATGATCACATTGGACATTGAATTACTAGGTTTATTTGGTGAATTACTATCTTCATACAATTCAGTTAAAGTAAAATTGTTATTATATTAGTAACAGTTTCGTACTTATGAGTTAATATTAGTGACAAAAAATTAAATAACCTTATGTTAGGCATTAAGTAAGTTCAGTAACAAAAAGTTGACATTCCAATAAAAAATGTGTTCACCCTGCAAAATTAACAATTTCATATTACAAATACCATCATATTAAACATTGAATTACTAGCTTTATATGGTCATATTAGTAACGTATTTATAGACTACTATTAATGACAAATAAATAAATAACCTTATGGTAGCCATTAATTAAATAAGTTCAGTAACACACATTAGAGAAGTGAAAAAAATTATGTGTACACACTGCAATATTACTAGCTTCTATAATCAATTACCATCACTTTGAATATTGAATTACTAACTTTTTATGGTCAATTACCATCTATATACAGTTCACTTAAAGGAAAATTGTTATTATTTTAATTGTAGTATATTAGTTAGGGTTACAGTATACACTATTGTATTATTCTCAATTCAATATGTTAGCTAGTCCAATGATGGGAGTAGGAGACAAATTTACAAACCTAATGGTTTACCAGCTTATACACTAAATTACCAGTATTTTGGACAAAAAATTACTAGTTGTGATGCTAGAATGAGAGCCAATACGCATATACGAAGGAGTAGGCAACAAACAATAAGTGAAAGAGAGTCATAAAAGAATGAATAGTGGGCAGAAGTGAGAAACGATTATTTTTTGTCGAAGAAGAACAAGAACAAGGGTGAAGAAGAGGACATACAAGAAAAAAGGCGAAAGTCATTTAAGAAAAGGACATTCAAGAACATGAACAAGAGTGAGAATCATTCAAATATTTTTTATTTTATTTTTTTAGATTTGTTCAAGAAGAAGAAGATGAAGAAGAAAAAGCTACTAGGCAATTAGCAAAAAAAGTTTTTTTCCTTTCAAGAAGAAGAAGACAAATCAAAGGCCACTGGACGGTTAGCAAAAGAAGTTTTTTTTCTTTGAAGAAAAAGAAGATGAATAGGACACATGACTGGACAAAAAAGTTGAAATTTTTTTTTTATGAAATTCGGTAACATGTGCGCGTGTGTAGAATAAATTTAGTACAACCTAATATTTAATTTCTTTTTTCATAGGTATCGCATACAAACACCTAAAATGAGTGTCTAAATAGCATTACTCTTTTACATTGACATATCACAGCCAAAGTTGCTCAAAACAAATATAACATTGCATTCATGGACTCAAACCATTCACGAGTTACTTATACAAAGGACATATCATGTAAGCTTATGAAAGGTAAAATGAACAAATATTAAACATTCAATATTACATTATTAGTTAAATTAACTTGTCTCATTTTTCACATTCTCACTTGATAGGCCTTATACCCCACGCACACAATATTATCATTCCGCTGCACAAAACTAAAAATAGAGAACTTGCTAGAATAATTATGCTACCGGGTCTTAAATTGCCCGCACAACGCTTTTCTTAAGAGACCTTCAGACTTAAAAACTCAGAGGACTAAAATAATTACTTTGATTTATTAAAACTTCAAAGCACGAACTACACAAGAAGCTAAGAATTCACACTCATTAACAGTCTAAAATTCTCTTCTATTCACAATAGCTACATATATACCAAGCCACGCTCAACCTTTAGAACGCAATCCATTTTATTTCGGTCAGAATCCACAATGATGAACATGTCCCTAAATTCCATACTAAATATAGGCAGCCAATTGCATGTTAGAATATCAGTTGAAACCGACACAAACGCCCATGCCAATGTTCCAATTTTTTGCTTCCTCATTTAGTGTAATGGAATGAGTGAACTTCTGTTTGAAAGGATGCAAACCAGTTTCCAAACATGCTCTCATTCATCAGCCAACACAAATGAGATTGGCATTCCTGACCCCTCTTGGCAAATATATACACATTGAAATGATCTTTTTGGAAAAAATATTCTGGTTGTCCATTGTTACAAATTGTCAAAAAGAGTCAAAGAAGTTGTTGACTACAAAACCTGACTTTCACTTTACATGTCTTTTCCGAGTAACACCGAAGTTTGGCAAAAATCTTGTTACAGAATATTGAAGACCAAAAAATCTAACAAGATTTTGGCAATCTTTCTTTTCTTCTTCATTGTCTGCTTGTGAACTCAAGTGACTCAAATAAGTTTTCCCCTTGTATATATAGGAAAGCTGCTGCCATAAAAGAACAATCAATCCTATCTGCAATGAAACATTTGCAATGAAGAGATAAACAAGAATGAGTCCCCTAGAGGAAAGAAGTAGGGCAGATCTCAGTAAGGCAACAATAATTTCATTCATAACTCTCCACACCAGATCACCGCTAGTAACCCCATTTAGACGTCTAACAGAGTATTTCAATGGTGGCCATGTATGCAAGCCTGCATATGCAGACATGATAGAGACATAGATTGTGCTCAGCACTGCAGAAATAAGGAAGGCAATGAAGCTGCGGTGATTAGCTGCACCAACACAGTTCCCAATCTGCCAAAGAATAACAGAAAATATGACCAAACTAGCATTTAGGCAAAGGAAGTTTGAAATGCAATAGTATCACTATAATCGCCAACAAAAGGATCCATTTTAACACAGTTGATAGGTAATGAGTCGCGATCATGCTCAACACAAACCAAACGCTCGTGTTAAATCAGACACCACAGTGCCACAAAACACTTTAATTAACAAAAACAATTTAACTTTTGTCCATTTCAGTGTTTCTACCAGTTTGCATGCTTCTTAACCAATTTATTGAACATCATTCGGTGGAATATGAGAGGAAAGGACAAAATAGGTCTCATGTAAAACCCCTATAAAATGCAGTAACTTCCAATTAAATCACATTCTGTTCTAGTAACACTCCAACCAAAATTTTTTTTTCTTTATTTCCACATATCCAAACAGCATTGGTTAAAAACTGCTGTGACAGCTAATTTAAGTAGTATGGTTTTATTTGAGAAATAAATACGTTGAATTTGCATTAGTTTTACCAAACAAAAAAAATGATCAGAATAGGGCAACCCACACAAGGCTCCTGCATGGAAGGATTTGGGGAGGGTAGATGTATGCAGCCTTATCCCAGGAAGCGGAGAGGTTGTTTTCAAGATTTAAACCCACAATCTTACCACTGCACCAGCACTTGCCCTCACAAAAACAAAACTAATTATTTAAACAGAATCAATTATCCAACGTTGACTTTATCAACAAGTTGAGCAATGACCATTTTAAATTACACTTAACTAATCTAAGAAAATGAGCATTTTACAAAAAGTTAGTGCATTTGATGCTACAGACCATATCGGAATATGAAAATTATACATTATACGATTAATATTTCCTTTACAGAACTGAAAAAACATATAGACCAAAACTTCTTCAAAAGTATCCCAATGTAATACAATGATTGAAGCTTCACATTCACACACTGATAGACTAGTACCAATAATTGAGGTAAAAGATGATTATTATCCAAGAAAGATTTGAAGTTCTGCCCAGAATGACTCTTTCTTGCAGAACTAGAACACAGACAAATGATCTTCGTAGTCCAGTGCAGTTTGAGAGGCACTGGTTCTCTCCTACATCCACGAATTCTCTCCTCCCTTCTACATATTGGATCCAATGCATTTAATAGCCCCCCCACTCTGACTAATTTGAGCCCATTATTAACAGGTCCATTTTGCCTAATCTGCCAAGTATAGACCCTTTTTACTATGGATCTATTTACATTATTGAAAATTTGGAAAAGCAGTTTGTAGTGTAGACTATAGCTCCCATGAATTCTCAAAATCTAGTAGACTCATCCATTTAACTACTTCTGCTGGACATCACTATACAGCATCACTATATCTCTACCTCAACAACTCTTAAGGTTGTAGCTGCAGTTCCCAATCTTCCAAAAGTGCTGCTGGAAGTGGCTGAGGATGGACACCTATTGTAACAGCCTTCTTAAGTAACTCTACTGTGTTCTGGTAATTGTAGTTTACAAGCAACTAGTCCAATTCTCTCCATCACTTTGTAAGGTCCATCAAATCTGGGTGATAACTTCTCATTTCTCTTCTTTGCAAGTGATCTCAGCCTACATGGTTAAACCTTATGGTACACCCAATCATCCACTTTAAGTTCAAGCTCTTTCCTCCTTTTGTTAGCCTACTGTTTCATCCTATTTTGAGCTGTTGAGAAAAAACAAGAAACATAGGATGAATCCATGTGTTTTGACTACACAGCGGAATATATATTTATAAAAGAGATCATTAATATAGAATATACAGATACAAAGTTACCATAATTGTATTTACAGTATTACTATAATTGCATAATTTCAATATAAATCATATGCACCAAACTTGTTGCATATATAACTAATTTAAGGACCTCTTAAAGACTTGATATAGACATATGTCAGTTGATCATGAGAATTTATAAAGCTAGTAGTGATATCTCAGTATAAAGTCTTCTCTCTAATGATGCGACTGTCTATCTCTGTTTAGTCCTCTTATGAAAAATGGATATGATGCAATATGTAAAGCTGCCAAATTATTTCAAATAAGTGTCATTTGTCTAACTTCCCTTGTTAAGATGTCCTACATTAGTTAAGAATAAAGCCAGAATACTCCTTATAAAGGATAGGACAATCCTCCTCCTATTAGCTAGCTTTTGAGAGTAAGTTAGGCTTAAGTTTCTTAACATTCCCAAATTTCAATTCTGAGTAGTTGTTTAAGCTAGGTAAGTTCACAAGTGACTAACATCATGACTCGATACTCTTCTTCTACACTAGACCTTGCAACTACACTTTGCTTCTTGCTTTTTTAAGAAACTAGATTTTCACCAATAAGAATGCAATAGTCAGATGTAGGCCTCCTGTCACTAGGTGATCTAGCCCAATTTGCATCTGAATACCCCACAACTAGTGTATATCCTTTGTCTTTATATAAGAGACCTTTTCCTGAAGCTCCTTTTATATATTTGAGAATGTGCGGATTGTTGCATCCCCATGTCTGTCATAAGGAGATTTAAGAAATTGATTCACTACATTGACTACAAAAGAGATATTTGGGTGAGTAACTATCAGACAGTTTAATTTCCAACAAGTCATTTATACCTTTCTAGATTTGAAAGTGGCTCACCCTAACTTGGGAAAAGTTTGACATTAGGATCCCTAAGAGTATCAATAGGTTGACTCCATCAATCCTATTTCCTCTAAGATATCTATTGCATACTTCCTTTGAAAAATCACAACACTACTCTTGGATTATGCCACCTCAATCCCCAAAAAATATTAAAGTCTACCAAGATCTTTTGTTTGAAAGTACTGACGAAGGTGCTACTTTACCTGTTTAATGCCATAGCCTGTTTCTTCTAAGATATCCATTGCATACTTCCTTTGAAAAATCATAACACTACTCTTGGATTATGTCACCTCAATCCCCAAAGAAGTATCAAAGTCTGCTAAGATATTTTGTTTGAAAGTATTGACAAAGGGCTATTTTACCTGTTTAATGTCATAGTGATCACTTCCTGTAATAACAATGTCATTTACATATGCATTTAATAAATACAATCTAAGGTTAAATGAAGATAAAAAACAGTGATCTATTTCACTTTGAGTCATGCTTGAACCACCATGCTGAAACCGTCAAACCATGCCTTTGGAGATTGTTTGAGACCATAAAGGGATTTCCAGAGACAATAAACAAGTCCTGAAGACTCTCCCTGAGCAACAAATCTAGGAGGTTGCTTCATATAGAATTCTTCAAGAACACTGTGAAGGAAAACATTTTTTATATCAAGCTGAAAAGGAAGCCAGTGACAGCATCCATAGATATGAGTAGTAGGACAAATGTCATTTTGGCTACAGGAGAGATAATGTCACTGTAGTCCAAACCAAATATTGTATATAACCTTTGGCCACCAAATGAGCCTTACAACGATCAATCTCATCATCAGGACCAACCTTGACTATATAGATCCACCTGCAACCAACAAGAGACTTTCCTAGAAGAAGAGGAACAAGTTCTCAAATACCATTATTCTAAGAATACACATTTCATCAATCATTGCTTGTTTCTAATCAGGATGAGAGAGAGCATCACTTGTAGACTAAGAATAGAAACAAAAGACAAGGAAGACAAACAGGTATAATGGGAGAAGGACAAACGGTGGCAAGTCAAAGAAACATAACGAGGAAAGGGATTACGAGTAGTACATATAGCTTTTGCAAGTTTAGTCTCAGGAAGCAAGCCTGGAGGAGAGAGGGTGAGTGGCATAGGAAGTGAGTTAGAGGTAGGCTCATCAGACACTAGTGGTACAGAGAGGGGTTGGCGATGGTGATACACCTGAAAAGGACACAAAGAAGGTGGTTCTACAAAAGCATAAGATGATTCGGGTGGAAGATAGTGGAAAGGAACAGAGGCTAGAGGAGGGGAACAAGTATACTCAAAGATTGAAACAGGAGGACTAGGTGTAAAGAAAGGAACTAATTCAAAGAAAGTGACATAACATTCTATAATATCACTTCAAAAACGATGAAGAACCTGACAATGACACAATAAAGTACAAGCAATTTTAATAAGATGTCTATTTTTTCATTCAACAATGGAGTATAAGTACAAGAGGTTTGATGATAGATACCATTAGAAGTCATAAAATTTTGAAATTGATTAGACAAATACTCACAAGCATTATCACCTTGTAAAGTATGAATTGCAAGACCAAATTGACTTTTAACTTCAAAAAAGAAAGTTTTAAAATAGAAAATAATTCAAAACAATCTTTCATTAAAAATAACCAAGTATATATAGAATAATTATTAATAAAGGTAATAAAATATTTTGATCCTAAAGTAGATATTATACGACTTGGACCCCACACATTAGTGTGAACTAATGAAAAGGGAGAAGAATGACAATGGACATGACTAAGTATATTTTTGAACAGTAATGAATGCTAAATATATACTGGACAACCCAATCCATCAACACATTCCATGACAATAGAATCACCACTTAATATTGTTACTGAAAAACATTTTTATAATGGAATAAGGGAATAACCACTTAAATAGATGAAAACTTCCAAAGAATAACGTAAAAGTGGCTCTTGATACTGTGATAGAAAATGAACTCCCAAGAAAGAGAAAAAGAGGGTAAAGTGAAACAGAACTCTTCTACCAAAAATTATTATAGACTTTTTCGGGATGTTCTAGAATTTATGCACAGATTCTGTTAACTTAGATCCAAAAGAGTTATAACTAATTCCAACAGTCTGCAACAAACTAACTTAACTCTAACAGATAACCACCTCAGCTGGTAACAGACCAGACAATTGAACAAGTGCATAACAGAACTGGAACCACATAACACAGGCAACAAAGACTACATATGCATGCAGAATACACTAATATAGCCAGTTAAACAGAAATTTTCATTAAAGAAAAACATTTTTTCTGTTTTTTGGATAAAATAAGAGACTATGACAACTAAAAAATGAGAATATTGACAGAGGCTTTGATCGAAAAAAAGGGCTCCTAAATAGGACTGAAAACCTTTTCTACCATTTGTTCAAATATTATAAATTATAATTGAATCTTTAAGCCTTTTAATCACCATCACTCCATAAGAATGACACAGTAAGAGCCTGCATAAGTTACACTAGGAGAAATCCTGAACTACTCTAGCATTAGCAGCTAATTGTTTAGTTTCATGTGTTTCTATAGAACATTAATCTCTGAAAATCAAATATATAAATATAAATTTCTTTAAGATATACTTTTATTTTTCAAAGAATAAGGTATGCAAAAAATGGAAAAAACTTTAATCATGAGATTACAAGGCACCAACAAAACAGACATCCATACTAAATTATACAGCCGAAAAACAGATGAACTTAATTAAAAGATGATATGTACAGTTAAAGATGGTATGTATCAATTACTATATCGATCAAGAATCCATGTGAAAATTGCAACAAAGAAAAATGATATTTCCATAATTAGAAGATTAAAAGTGGAAACTTACAAATGGGCAGTGATGATCCATGTCCAGAATACATTTTCTACAAGACCGACAATGATGAGCCAGAGGTGACTTTGGCTTTGAGCAATAGTGACAGAAAGTATAATTTTCTAGGTCACCTTTCCCTACAGTGGGGTAGCTTCCCCATAATATATTAGGTGGTGTGCCAGCACATCTAAAAGCTGCTAAGCTGAAAAAGAAAATGGTGACTATGGACAAGACTGCGGTAATGATTGAGTGAAAAATTCCACAAAGAATACTGACAGAAAAGACAACAGGATAAACTGCCCACACTCCACCAACTGCACAAATAAATAAATAAATGTATAAGAAAATAATACAATAATGCAGTCCATTTTTGGAAGAGGTGATGAATGATAAGAATAATGACAATAACAAACATCACAATAATACATTAATGAAGAACCACTGATAGTAGGATGATCTTTTAAGGTTTGACTCACAAACAGAATAAAATGAATTCTTCAGCACTACAAGAACCTGATGAACACCAATTACAACTGAAACTATAACAACAATAACAACAACTAAGTCTCATCCCACTAGTTGATGTTGGCTTACATGGATACACGATGTCATTGATTCAACCAAATTGTTTGAAATATTATTTATTATAAGATTCCTGTCAATAAATTTTTCAAAAGTTCTTTTGTCTCCCACTGCTCCTTTTTCCTCACCGGTGTCTCCAATGGCCTTCTTTGCACATATTTAAACAACCTTAGTAGATTTTCTTTCATTTGTTCCATAATAAATGTTACTCCTATATTCTCTTGTACACATTACTAATCATGTCATTTCTTGTGTGACTACTTATTCATCTAATCATTCTTATTTCTGAAACTCTCACTCTTTTCTCATATTGTCCCTTTAAAGCCCAACGTTCACTATCATATAGGATAGTTAATCATATAGCAATATGATAAAACTTTTCTTTGAACTTAATCAGTACTTTACAAGTATAAATAACTACTGACACTATTTTCCACTTTAACAACTTATTTTGCATTTTGAGTAATATCTTCATTAATTTTTCTATCATTCTGTAAAATCAAACTCAAATACTTAAACTTGAAAACCTAGTATTATGTCGTCTCCAATTTTGACTTTTATTGCATAATCATTATCTTGATTTTTGTTAAAATTGCAACACATATACTTTGTTTTACTTAACTCAAATGAAAACCCAAAGACTTTAAAGTTTGTCTCTAACATTCAAGTTAGCGTTAACCAATTCCCTTGATTCTTTAATCAGGACTATATTATTCGCAAAAGGCATTCATTTAGAGATAATTTTTGTATTTCACTTATAAGCACATGTTAGGGTTCAAAGATAAAATCAAGGTAGGGATTGAAGAAAAATAATGAATTTATTAATCACTAGAGAGAATTAGGATTACAAAAGAATCTCCTTGAGCTAACAGCTCCTAAACAGAGAATGAAATTCTCCCCAAAACAACCAACAAAAAAAATAATTCCTCAATAAAGAAACTAACACTATTTATAGAATCTATCTTAACAAACTAATTGCATTATCAATACTAACAAACTAACATTAACTAAGCCTTATCCTTACTTCCGCAGCTGACTCTTTTTTACTCTTCCTCCAAAAATAAACCTTCCACACACTAAGTCTCGTATTGACATCAAACACATATTCCTATGCCAAAGTTCTAACAGTACCTCCAGTTGAAGAAACAGCCTTGTCCTCAAGGCTCAAATGTGGAAACTGATTCTGCCGAACAAATTCATCCCCTCCCAAGTGGCTTCATTAACAGGAAGACCCTTCCACTGAACCAAAAACTGCTTAACTATCTTACCCTCAGCTGAAACAATGCAACTAAATAAATAACACAAATTCAGGTTCAGCCATGTCTTCAGAGACTAAATCAGCAGGGAGTTCAGTAGGAGTATAATAGTGTCCAAAAGCCTTTTTCAACTGAGAAATATGAAAAGTAGAATGGATCTTAGAGGAGATAGGCAGATGCAGCTTGTAAGTGTTAGGACCATGGAAGAAGAACATATGATTGTTACTAATAAGAGACCCAAAGAGTGGAAGTTTTATGCTAGGAAGAAAGGAAGGAAAGAGTCAACTGCTAGTTAGTTGTTAATATGGTTAATAGATCCTATAAATAAAGTTAGAATCTTGATTAAAGGGGCTTTTTGGTTTTTGGAAAATACTGTTAGGGGGAATTATTCTCTGGACAGGAGCTGACAGCTCCGGGGGGTTCTTGTAATCCTGATATTTTTCTAAAGAGATCAATAAGAATTGACAATATTCTTGAGTCTTTCCTTGATTTTACTTCTCAGACCCTAACAAATTGGTCTGACCTGCTGCATCCGAATTTTTACCATGTCACCAAGGATGAGTGAGAGAGTGGAGGTTCTTGAATCTAGGGTTCAGAACATCGAAGTATCGCAAAAAGTGCTGTCTGATTTAAGAAGGGAGATGAATGTAATACAACAAGAATTGTTGAAGGAAATACAGAAGATGAGCACTGCTAAGGCAACAGAAGACCAGTCGTATATGGAGTTATGAGGAGAAAAAATTGTAAATGATAACGGCAAGAATACAGGGGGAGGAAACATTGACGTTGAGTTTCGTTCTTCCGCCAAGAAAGTGGAGCTTCCCACCTTCAATGGTGTTGACCCTGTGGGATGGATTTGTAAAGGGGAGATGAATTTTGAAGTGCATGGGACAAGTGAGGATGTGAAAGTGAAGTTGGCCAAGATTTGTATGGAGGGAACCACGATTCATTAGTTCAATTTGTGGCATGAGGAGGAGGATCCTACCTGGTATAATCTGAAATAGGCCTTGATTGTTTGGATAATCCTTTTGAGGAGTTGAAGTTGCTGAAGCAAGAAGGTTCTGTGGAAGATTTCATTGAAGCGTTTGAAGCTCTAGCCTCTCAAGTTCCAAGGCTGCCTGAGACTCAATATCTTGGGTATTTTGTTGGAGGGTTGAAAGAAGAAATCAGATAAAGGGTACGTACTCTAGACCCACCAACTAGACGACATGCAATGTGTTTGGCGAGGGCGATTGAGGCCGAGATTGCTAAAGGTAGTGAGCCATCCTTTAAGTGGAACAGGAGTTATGCTGGGGGAACATTGGCTACAGGATTCCAAGAAGAAGTTTTGCCATCGCTGTTCAACAAGATTTTGTGCAAGTAGGGAAACCTCAATTGACCCGGGGTTTAAGGCCCTTATTCCAGTACGACAACAACAGCGCAGTCAGGTGTGGCGAGAAATGATGGGGATAGTCGTAGCAAGGGCGTGAAGCATCTCCATTAAAATGGCTGTTAATGGGAGTACCCATGGTAGTTAAAATCAGGATGTGAATCGTAAAATCGTAAGATTTTACGGTTTATCCCAGCCAAACAATTCAAAGTGCAACAAGAATTGGAGCAAGGTGAAATCGCAATCCTGATCGTGAAATCAGTAAAATCCCGATTTGCTGCTGATTTCAGAAAAACGTGGGTCGAATCTGGATTTCGGCCCAAATACTTTATAACCTAAGCCTGATCCAACTTTTTAATTAGGCACGAAGGAAGTCCCGCATTCTTCTCTTCTTCATCAAGCCCTAGATCTGTTAAGAACAACTTCATTAGCAAAAGTCGTTTTCTCTTCTTCGCGATTTCTCCACCCCAACCTTTTCATTAGCTATTTTTTTCTCATCTTCCTCTGGTTTCTTCGTAAAACCCTAAACCGACCAGACCAGGTAACAACTTGTTAGTTTTTTTTTTTTTTCCTCTGTTTTTTTCATCTTGTTCAAGGATGGCTTCAAACATGGCTAATGGTCAAAGTTCAGGGGGTGGCGTTTCTGGGTCACTCCCAACTACACCGACAGCTCCACTGCTATGGGTTCTTCAAGCATGCCTCAAAGGTTGGTTCCCCAAAATGCATGTGGAAACAAGGGTGATGTGGGATGGAAATATGGGTTTTCAGTTCAAGGAACTGTGAAGGTTCAATGCAAATTCTGTCAAAAGGTACTAAATAGAGGGATTTATCGCCTAAAACACCACTTGGCTAAAACAAATCAAAATGTTGAAGCTTGCAAATCTATTCCTGATGACGTGAATAAGGAGATGATGGAGATTATTACTTCTTTGATGAAAAAAACAGCTAACAGAAATGACTCTTTGGAAATTGGTCAAAAGAGAAAAGCCATTGAAAGTGCTGAAGTTTAGAGTGTTGGGATTAGACAGTTTTGCAAGAAAAAGGGTGTAGGTTCACAGGCCACAATAAACAGCATATTCAAGAAGGGTATAAGAGAGGATGCATGTCAAGCAATTGCAAGATTTTTTTACAACAATGCCATAGCTTTCAATGTGGCAAGTGAAGAATTTCCTGCCATGTGTGAATTAATTGCACAACACGGTCCAGGATTTAAGCCACCCTCATCATGAGATTAGAGTGAAGTATTTAAAGCAAGAAGTGAAGATGACAATGGAACTTATTGAAGAAGATAAGGCTGTTTGGAAGAGTGTTGGCTGCACAATAATGGCAAATGGGTAAACTGACAAAAGGTGAAGAACCATTCTGAATTTCTTAGTGAACAACTTGAAAAGTACAGTTTTTTTAAGTCAATTGATGTTTCCCACATCACCAAAACAACTGATAAAATATTTATGATGCTTGATAAAGTTGTGAAAGAGGTTAGTGAGAAAAACATAGGACAAATTGTAACTGATAATGCAGCAAATTATAAAGCTGCTGGAGAGATGTTGATGGAGAAAAAGAAGAATTTATACTAGACTCCTTGTGCGGCACACAGCACTGATTTAATGCTTGAAGATTTTGAGAAAAAAATACTCCTCCATGAGGAAATAATTCCAAAGGGCAGAAAAATCACAACTTATATTTATTCAAGTACTTCTCTTATTTCATTATTACAACACTTCACAAAAGAAAAAGATATGGTGAGACCAGGTATCACTCAATTTGCCACTTCATATTTAACTTTGGTATGCCTTCATGAAAATAAAGGAGCTCTTTTAAGAATGTTCTCGTGTAACGAATGGAAGTCCAATAAGTTTTCTAGGACAAGAAAGGGAAAATTGGTAGAAGAAGTTGTTTTGGACAATGAGTTTTGGAAGAATGTTCTGATCTGTTTAAAAGGTGCATATCCTTTAATTAAAGTCCTTCGATTGGTTGATTCAGATGAGAAGCCAACCATGGACTTTGTTTATGAGGCAATGGACCAAGCTAAACAGGCTATCCATATAGCTTTCAATAGTGCTAAGAAAAGGTAATTGATTATCTATCAAATTTAGTTAAAATTAAA